ATGGCTCCTACGCAAAGGGCGCCGAGCTGTGGATCGTCATGGAGTTCTGCTCCGGCGGCAGCTGCGCCGACCTCATGAAGCCCGGCCTCATCGGCGAGGAGTACATCGCCATCATCGTGCGCGAGCTGCTGCTCGGCCTCGACTATCTGCACTCGGACAAGAAGCTGCACCGCGACGTCAAGGGTATCTTCCTCCGCCCCTCTCCTTCCCTCTTCTCTCCTCTCCTCTGCTCTTCTCTCCTCTCCTCTGCTCTTCTCCTCTCCTCTCTTGCCGAGACTGACACCTGCAGCCGCCAACGTCCTCCTCTCCTCCAACGGCCTCGTCAAGCTCGCCGACTTTGGCGTCTCCGGCCAGCTCTCCGCCACCATGACCAAGAAGAACACCTTTGTCGGCACCCCCTTCTGGATGGCCCCCGAGGTCATCAAGCAGTCCGGCTACGACCACAAGGCCGACGTCTGGTCCCTCGGCATCACCGCCCTCGAGCTCGCCCTCGGCGAACCCCCCTACGCCGACATTCACCCCATGAAGGTCCTCTTCCTCATCCCCAAGAACCCGCCGCCCCGCCTCGAGGGCAACTTCACCAAGGCCTTCAAAGACTTTGTCGAGCTGTGCCTGCAGCGCGACCCCAAAGAGAGGCCCTCGGCGCGGGACCTCCTCAAGCACGCCTTCATCCGCCGCGCCAAGAAGACGACCTACCTCACCGAGCTCATCGAGCGCCACAGCCGCTGGGCCGCCACCCACAAGGGCGACGACGACGACAGCCTGCACGGCGAGGACGAGTACTACGAGAGGGAGCGCGTCGACGAGGACATGTGGGACTTCGGCACCGTCCGCCTCGTCGGCGACAGGGGCGGTCTCGTCGCCCGCCCGGGCCTCCTCAACGCCATGGACGAATCCGCCACCAACGCCCGCGCCCGCCCGCTCGACGCCGACGCCGACTACGGCGAACGGCCACGCGAGCACAGCCCCACCAAGGCCCGCGACTTTGCCCAGAACGCCCAGATGGCCGCCGACACCCTGAAGCCCGCCAACGCCGCCACCTCGCGCCAGACGTCGCCGCACAGGAAACCCGTCACGGGCGGCTCGACGACGACGCCCCAGTCGCCCGCCAAGGTGCCGCTGCCCGTGTCACCAGAGAAGACGACGCGCGGACCCGAGACGCCGCGGCCGTCCTCGAAACCCATGCCGCCGCTGCCCGTCGGCCAGTCGTCGCCCGACTATGACCGCGAACTGCAGTACCAGCTGCAGAAGGACATGGGCATGCTGAACCTCGGGCCCGCCATCCAACACGACAACCAGGCCACGCCGAAGCCGCCGCCCCACCAGCAGCTCTTCCACTCTCAACTACAGCAGCAGCAGCAGCATCATCAGCAGCAGCAGCAACAACCCGTCTCACGGCCGACTTCGAAGCTCGGCAACATCAGCCTGCCCG